AGCAGGAAAATGAATTACATGTATAGAGAGGCTGCTCGTTGAACATGAACTTGAAGCAAAGGCAGCTAGATGTAGGCAGTTTTTTACTTTTCATCTCCTCTTTTCTCATTTGCCTCAGTAGAAGCACCTTTCCCTCATGAGGCATGTCATAATGAGCTCTCCCTGACACTGTAATAGCTCCCAAGTGCCCTGCCGGGGTGTGGACGTGGCACTCAGTGCCCTTATGGTACAGGAGAGAATTATCTACCTACCTCCAGTGGAACGCAGCCTCACTTCAGCATCTGCCTGCTGCACGGCTGCCTGGGACCCAAGTGATGAAAGACTAGTTTTTTTTCACCTACAGAAGGGGATGACAAGTGGGGCCGTTTCCAAGTATATCTTTATCACCTATTGCAAATAGGGCCCGAGAGTCTGATTCCAGGCTTTCCAATATGTTGTTCGCACTGTCAGAATTCATGGCAAATCCTACGTTCTCTCATGAAGGAGATTTGGGGGTAAGAGCAGGATTATAATAGCATTTTTAACAATCCCTTAGAAACATGGAGTGGTAGGATAACAGATTTTCTGGTGGTTATATTCTGTGTTACTTCTCCATGAGTTTTGTCCAGAACGTTTGTGGAGTTATTCTTCCACCGGACATCATCTTGGGTATCAGTAGCGTGCTTGTTTTTCATGTAGACATAGGAACAAATGGCTTTCTTCTGCTCTTCCAGATTGGGATCACCCTGCAGCCTGTGGCGCTGCATAGGAATGTGTATGCGTCGGTGGTGGAAGATATGATTTTGAAGGTGGGTGCCTGTGGGGGGCCGGGAGCTGCCGTCAGGGGCTGAAGCGCTGAGGGGCCAGCCAGGCAGGACAGCCTGGCTGCCAGGCTGCTTTGAGTAAGACAAGGACAGAAATGGAACAGAGATGACAGGCTTTACGATTTCTCAGCTTATTCGGGCTTAAAGTTTTCTCTTTTTTTTCTTCTGATTTTTAAATGAATTAAATTGTAGTTCTACAAGAGTTTCTGTGCTGATGTCACTCTAATGATATCTTTCAGTGCCATTTCAAGTGCTTTTTAAGTAGCCTGAGGTGAGAGTCATAGGTCTCAGTGCTTAAAGAGGTGACTCACATGTGACAACAATAGCCACAACTGTCCCATCCCTCGGTGAGAGGATGACAAAACCAGGTTCCTGACCCAGCCAGATCCTCGCTCAGCAGTTCCTTTCCCGGTAGATCTCCTCCAGGAGCAGGGATACCTCACAAATAGCTCTCACCTGTTCTCCTTAAAAATAATGTCTAATTAATGAAAATTACCCGCTTCATAATTCCTCAGAATCATAGCCTCTGTAATTGTGGGCTATTATTTGTGGTCTATTATTCGAACCTTTAATTTTTCCTTAAGGACTTCTGATCCTTAGATATAGCTGTTTCCAAGTTTAGAGTATGGGATGGGGTCAGCTGCATCCCTTCTTGTCAGCAAGCAGGTGGCCCTTTTGAGAGTAACAGCATCTTCTGTTGTAGGCTACAGAGCAGCTGGTCAGTGACATCCTGAGACAGGCTTTGGCGGTTGGATATCAGGCAGCATCTCACAACAGGTACCGTTATCTCTTTAGTTGGTGGTATCAGGCTGACAGATATTTCCTCACAGTTTAGTTGCCCATCTTGATGTTTTAGACCTATGTCAGTTCAGTAGGAGGTGTCAGTGCTTGGGACATTCTCAGAGCCAGACAGACTTGGGGGTCTGCTTGGTTGTTTTGAGACAGTCTCGTGGTTGTGAGAGGTCTGTATCTTCCCCGTCTCTACTGCATAGACCCTGTTCAGTAGAACTCTCATATGTTACAGGGTTGAACAAATACCAATTTGTTGCCATTGAAGATAAAAGCAGTGTTTCTTTCCTGTCAGGTTTAGGGCCAGGCACTGCATATATTACCTAATTTGTTGTTCATTTCAGAACTCATGCTCCCTTTTTAGAAATCAGGAAACCGGGCTCTGAAAGGTAATCTTGCCTGGCTTTCCCAGCAAATACATGATAGAACCTAGATTTAAACTTAGATCTCACTGGCTCTATACCCACAGGCTCACCAGTGCTCTTTGCAGCCTCTCTAATTGTCATTGATTGGGATGCTGAATTTTGCTCTTTTCCTGGGCCCTGAAAGAATGATAGACAGGCAGGCATTCCTTTCAAAGGAAACAAATTTATTTTATTCTGCTGTGCTTAAAGGCTGCCATAAACTTATATAACTTTAACAGAATACCTGAGGACATGAAGAGACCTAAGTCAGAGGAATATGATTAGGTCAGACTTGACAGGAATGTAACACATCAGGCAGTGTAGAGAGGTCTTTACAAAAAGTGAGGAACAAAGGAGTTCTAGTAATGCTGCTTCTTGTCCTGCTGGAGATCCAGGAGTGGGCGCAGTGCCTCTGCAGCCCCTGCTCGCCTCTCTGGTCCCAAATGTGAAGATATAGAGTGACCTGAGTGCTTTTGATAAGAACATTGAACGTCACACTTGGCCTGCCATAACTCCATCTCCCATCTTTCCAAGAGATGGGCTCTGTGGTGCATTGACTCAGCTTTCATTCGGCTGAGACTGAATTACAGCAATAACGTTCTGTTCTGCTTTACTTCCTTCCTCTTTTCTCAATCCCCAGTCTTTTTTTTCTTCTTCTAATCATTCAGCCACCTTACTGAAATCCATCTCATGCCTGTGGTAGGAAGTCATATTTGAGCCCTAAATAGGGCTGACTGGGAAGAGGGTAGGCCACATCTCCACCAGAGTCAAAGGAATTAGTGGGAAAGAAGAGGGGGAGAGAGAAGGCACCTGCCCGCTCCCCATCCCCAGAGTGGCCCTAAACCATGCCTATCACTCATCATCATCCCCACCTACTAGAGCCTGTGCATGGGATGGTCCTTTCGGTAACTTAATTGATTAAATTATTTAGATATTTGAGAGAATCACTAACATCTTTGTTTTTTGGACCAGGATTCCCAAAGAAATTACAGTAAGTAATATTCACCAGGCCATTTGCAACACTCCTTTTCTGGACTTCCTCACAAACAAACACATGGGGATATTGAATGAAGATCAGTGAACAGAATGAAGATGCCCCTAGGAAAGCAGGATTCGAAGTCTTGAACTGTGATGATTCTTCTATTTGGGAGAGAAGGTCATTTTCTGTGTGCCTCAGAGTATGATGGCTACTAAACCATTGCCTCCAGTTAGTAACACCAGTGTTCAGTCCCAGGTCAAATCCTTTTAGGAGAGAAGTTTGTTTCCCGATTCTAGAGTGAAGCCATGAGTGGATGCATGCTCTGTCAGCTTGAATCTGTTCCCTCTCTGTGCAGGCTCCATCAGGGTCTCCATCAGAGCAGGGTCAGGCCCCATGTATCAGGCCCTTCTGTCCTCTGCGTGTTTTCCAGTGGGCACCTTGGGCCTGAGTCTCCCTCCAGGAGGCAGAAAATGAGTCTGGCAAGCTAGAGATTTCACCCATTCTGTGGGCTGGGGTTACAGGCACCACCACCACCCTCTAGTTACCCTGATAACATCTGGAGGAGGGCTGGGCTTCGGCACTCAGACCCCGAGCATCGGCTCAGGAAGCAGTGATGCTGTGTGGAAGACACACAAGCCTGGGAGGCTGCAGACTGAGAATGCTTCTTTCATGGGACACAGGAGCATTACTACAACCAGTCTCAGAGCATTGTCAAGGGATGGACAGATCCCAGCATAGGTCAGGAAAAGGTTTGACTACAACTGAGAAGCTCTTAGCCATAGACAGCACCCACAAAGCCCGGGCACTTGGCAGACTCAGGCCAGCTTTGAGCGTGTGCCGGGCAGAGAGCTGGTTCCTCACCATTGGCGTGGTCTGCCGGAGCTTCTGCTGCTGAATCCACGTTGAGTGGCCAGTGGGGAGCAGCCCCTCGGACAGTTCAACCTATCCAGTGGATTTGGTGTCTTGTTCTTCTCTGTCAAGGAGTTTTTCCCAAGAAGAAAAGTGTTTTAAACACTTGTGAGTGCCTTAAAGGTAGAGAAAGGACTGTCAAAGGCAAGACACAGGGATGTCAGTGTTCAGAAGCAGTGAGAACAGATTGTGTCACAGGCAGAGGCCATCTCAGTGGGAGGCAGAAGTGGTCGGAAAAAGGAAAGTTAGCCGCACCCTGCATGATGTCCAGTTTCATTATAGACACTTTACCCCATCCTCCTGACAGACAGTCTGAAGAAGTAAAGAATTTATTCTCAGCAGTTAGGAATCTGCTCCAAGAAAAACTGAAAGCTGTGAGTCAGAGCCAAAGAAACTTATCCAAGCAACATAATTCACGTTTTCATGAATCCTCTAGATGTCTGAGTCAGGAGAAGGCAGGGAGGCAACTACAAGAAATCTGCCCTTTATTCAGCATCTGAGGACAGCAGCTGCAGAGGGAAATTAACTCAGTAAGGCATAGGGCATGTCCTGGCTTAGTAATAAAACAGTTCAGTAGTAAAGGCTCAGATATTCCATACATAAAATACTAGCAAGGTTAATGGGCAAGTGTAGACTCATTCAGCAGTGGACTGTGACTCAGATCTAAAGGATGAAGATTTGATCCAAATGAGAACAGAGTCAGTTATTACAGGTGTGAAAGCCTCAAGAAATTATCTTTTTGCAAAAGAAATAGTAAGCGATTTAACAGTCCCCATATATGTTAATGTTGCAATGAAATGTATTTGTATCATAATATGTAACATAATTGTGTAACAAAAATATCTACAATAAATCTTTCAGTATTTGTGATGGGTTTTTCTGAGTTTGGAGCACTACACTTTGGTAGGGTTTTTCTTACATTAGGTCAAAAAGAGCTGGGATGAGGCAAAGGTATAGGTGTTTGTGTACTTGAATTAATTCTTCCACTTCTTTCCAAAAAGAATTTGCAGCTACTTAAAATAAGGATTACAGTTATATAAAAATCTGAAAAAGTTTTGGAAAAATGCATGTTGGTCCTGGCCATAGTGGTTTCTGACAGCTTGGAGCAAAGGAAAACTACCTGATTGAGCTCAGAGCCTCCTCAAAGCCAAGGCAAAGATTAAAACAGCTCCTGTTGTCCAATCAAGAAGCACACTGGTTCATCTGGCAAGAATGGGTCTGTGCTGAAGCCAGAAAGAAGTTACTCCTGTGACCAGGTCCTGCTGGGACCATCTGCTATCACAGTGGCTAAAAAATTACAGCAAGTACAGAAATATTTCAGAAATGACTATTATTTATATCCACCCTTAATAAGAACTAAAAGCTTTGAAAGCTTCGGTTCTTCAAAGGTAAGAAGTTCTTTGGGGAGGAGGCCCTGTGATACAATCCAAGTATGTAGCTTTCCTGGGACCAGGCTTCACTTAGTGTCAACCTTTAGGGAGTTGATGGTCTGGAGGAAGGAGAATAGGGGGATTGACTAGGCCCCCTTCCTGAATGTTATTTGTGTCAGCCACGGTTTTGACAGGAGCCACGGGACAGTGTCACAGTACCTTAATCGGGGACTCCCTCTTAACTGACTGAAGGCGCTTGTGTGAGTGAGGCCAGTGGAGCTGATCCTGCTCAAAGGGTCTCCCGTTGGCCCAGGGTGGGCTGCATGGCCAAGGTTCTCTCAAAAGCTGCTTTTCGGAGTTTGGCCAAAAATCCTGGAGTTATTACAAGGATGAAAGTATTAGTGTTTGTAATGGGTTTTTCTGAGTTCAACTCACTACAGAGCCGTCAGTCTTGGTCTAAATGACTGTGGGTGACAGGACCCAGGGGCCTCCCTGTGGTTGGGCCTCCTCACGGCTGGGCAAGGCTGCTACTGCAGCGCTAACTTTGGTCATGAAATAACTAATTTGAACTCTTTCCTTTGGCTAAAATTACCTAACAAGCAGATTAAACTGCTTTTTAATTTAATATAAAAATGCTAATTATATAGAAACTTTTAGCAAATATTGTAAGGTGTAAAAAATTTTTAATTATCCATAGTTCCCCTTCTCAAAGATAGCCACCATCAGTATTCCAGTGCGTCACTTTCGGTCTTCGTCTGTTTGTATCATACATATGACCTAGGTGAGTTGGGACCACGTGGCTGAGACTGCTATTATCTCAGTGTTAAGGCCTTATTAAGACCTAGTGGGAGGAAGGTGCTGTTTCAGAATCCAGATCTAATAATTAATGAAGTCTAGTAAGGAAGGCTGTTGGGTTGGGGTGTTTTTGAAAAGCTGTCTGTTCCTGGGTGTGCAGGATGCCTTCCAGAGGTCAGGCCTCTCTCAGGCAGTGGTGCTCCCACCGCTGCTGCAGTGCCAACACTGCCAGCATGGGGCAGCCTGCTTTACCCCCAGCTCAGTGAATGGTCTCTTGGGACAGGCTCTGGGGGAGGGATGGGCAATGGCTGGCTATGCGGTGTGACACAGGCAGGGGCTACTGAGAGGGCCTGTCAGTCAGTGGCATCAGATGGACCAAAGCTGCAGATGGCAGTAAAGCAGGCTCCCGGGAAGGGGTGCTTGGGCAAGAGAGAATAAGTACAGCAGCTGTGCTTTGTTGGCCATTTACTGTACTAAGCACGCTGCACATAAACACATTCTCTAGGGGGGGTGGGGAGGGGAGTGGCATTACCCATACTTTGCAGATAAGGAAACAGAAGCTTAAACTGCTCCCAGCTAGTGAGTGGAAAAGCCAAGATTTGAGCCCAAGACTAGCTTCAAAGACAGTCCTTTTACCCTAGGCTCCTAGCGGGGTTGGGGGGAAATGGGTAAGTGTAAAAGAGGAAGTTCGTGGGTTCTGTTAAATATTACTACATACGACACCAGTGCGACTGCAGCCCAGGGTCAGCGTTCTCAGAATCTACAAGCCTCCAAGGGAGAGCAGCAGTAGCCATGGCACATTAAAGTTCTCTTACTAAGAGGAGATAAAGGAAGACATGAGAAGGCGTTCGTGTTTATAATTAATTGAAAGAAATGTTAAATTGAAACAGTATGTTTGCGTTTCAGTAAAATCTGAGATTGTACCATTAATCTGTTTGCTTCTCACAGAATGCCCAGCACGCAGTCTCTTAGAAGCATCTAACATGCAAACCAATGAAGTCTGAAATAACAGAACCCTTTGTGTAAGCATATGGTTTTGCTTTTCCCTTTAAAATGATTCTTTCAGCATTTCCTTTGCTGGAAATGTGCCAGAGCTGGGAGCTAGCACCTCTGAGGGGACTGAGGGCGCCTCGCAGCCTGAGCTGTAAACAGGGCTCCGCCTCCACTCTGAGCTGCTTCTAAAACCTGAATGCCACCTCCTGTGGTGAAAGTAAATGCTCATCTGGCCACCTGAGGGCTGGAAAGGGGTAAAGATCCAAAGGGAAATCCTTGAGCTTCCTTACCGAAACTGTCCTTAGCTTGTGCCTCTAATCTCTACAAGGAACACAAACTCCTTCAAATGTTTCGAGGGCTGCTGTGCAGAGGGGACCAGGCTAGTTCCAGGTGGCTGCACTGGCTGGAATTTGTCAAGAAAAGAGAGGGCCTTCCAAAAACAGAATGAGCTGCCTCAACAGCTAGTGAGCTCCCTGTAATGAGATGACGTTTTCAGGTCTTTCAGGGAATGAAGCTAATGCCACCCTTCTCCCAAAGAAGCTCCCAGTCCTTAGTATAGTAGTTCCCATCTAGTCATCAGTACATTAAGGGAACAAAACTGGAGTCAGTAATACTAAGGTAAATGTCGTTCACTCAGTACTTCACTCATCCCAAGAAATGTTTTGTTAAAACCGGGGTCATCTTGGCCATAAAGAAATTGTCTTTAAAACTGAAGCCCTATGATTGATATTCTGCTTCTCTGGGAAACTTCTTCGTGGTTACTTAGCATCATCATGAGTCACATGCAGGTGATAACCTAAGATTTCTTCTACAGCCTGAACATGTGGGGCCGTTGGTGGGACTATCCAAGGACACCACCTTGGGTTACCCCGGGTTATAAAATTATCATGCAGCCTGCGAAAACAACAACGTGGACATTACTGGATCTTTCAAGGACCTGTTATGTCCATATTCCTCAGCCCCCAACGACCAATTCAGTTCACAGTAGAATTGATCAAGTTCTTCAGATTTAAAAAATGAAGGGTGGCCAAAAGAGGCAATTAAGAAAGATCTGAAGCCTTCCGCATACGTCTCTGAGGCCCAGAGCTGGGCCGGGTGGTGCCGTGTCCCTCTGTGCCTCGTTCTGCCCGCAGCCTCGTGCAGCTCGCAGAGGAAGTAGTGCCCCACGGTGAGAACGGAGGACCCTCCCTCTCTGACAGCAGGGGCCATCTGGTCCTGAGACCTCACCCAGTCCCTGCGCAGCGGGTCCTGATCCTCTGGGGCTGCTCGCTCCTTTCTGTGGGCAATCACACGTTGAGGATCCGGGGAGCTGAGGCCTGAAAGATGGCTGAGGGGTTAGGGGCGAACTTCCTCCTCACCTCAGGGACCTGGAAAATGAAATGTGGCCACAGATCAGCGGGCCTTTCCCTCGACTTTCCCCCTCCCCACAGCTCCAGGAAAAAAGTCCCCTCTTTGTCCTTGAGAGTTGGGACTGCTAACCTGAAGGGTCTGCAGTTAACGCAGGGTTCCTGTGTTAGTGGACATTGGCCAGATGGAGCACGTGGACCTTCGTTTCTCCCTGAAGCCTCTTTTGGGTTGAGTCAGGAAGCTGAACAGCCCCACCTCCCTTCCAGCTCCTCCTTACATGAACGCCAGGGCCTGGACAACTTGTCACTAGGGCTCAGTGGCCAAGGGTAAGATTGGGATTTAGAAGGGAGGGGACACCCTGCTCCCCAGAGAAGTCAGCACTAGGGGGACACACGTGTGGCTAACGACAAAGCAGCACCTTGGCTTTCTGTTCGCGAGTGACAACTGGGTGCTGAGACACCACTGTCCCTGGCATAATGCCATCCTACACCACCCAAACCTGACTCCTAGTCCCTAACCTGGAAGAAAAGCCTCTGTCCTCACACCCCCTGCAGCCAGGCACCCAGCCCCTCGCCCTGCAGCACCAGCTTCGGACTGACCTGGAAGCCAGCCCCGGGGCTGCTGTCCCATCCAGAGCTGTGGGTTGTGATGACTGTGGCGGGTTTCACCTTTGTGGATCTCGATGGCTTCACTCCAGTCCAAGCCTGGAATTCCTGTCTGGAACAGAACACATCACAACCTTGCACAGGGTCACCCATCCCTTCCCCTGACCCCTCAGAGGCCTCGGCCCTTGCCCTGTGCTTCTGGAATATTCCTGACCAATGTCCACTGCTGAGATGCTGCTTTGGCTGCAGATGTTCCTTTCTCCCCTTACAAAGGCAGAACTAGCAGACGAAGTGTACCCCAGACAGCTCCAGCAGGA